CTGAATCACAGTGACCCTGTACAGGCTTTCTGAGAGGTAGCTGGTGGGTCTGAACCACTGACCTATTCTGTTAGCAGTGCACTGCTTATCCTACAGCACTACACCAGCACTCCTGCTTTAAGCACAGGCCTCTCTACATATGCTCTCAGACTGGGGTCTTTAAGTCAGACCATCAGCATACTTTGGGGACTTGTTTGGAATGCTGATTCTGCATCCACAGCTCCAAGATTTAGGCCTAGCCTCTGCATCCACAGCTCCAAGATTTAGGCCCAGCCAGCTACTGTAAAGATAAGCATGGGACCACAAGGTAGGCAGTTCAACACTCACCAGCCACTCTTTGCAAACAGGGTCTCTGTGAATTGGAACCAACTTGATGGCACTTAACACCAACATCATCAGCTTTAGCCAGCCCTCCAGGACCTGGGCTCTAGACACAATTCCATTCATTGCAACCTAGCTGACACTTTTCCATTATCTCATCTGGAAACTGAAGACACCTTTTGCACCTCTGCATCTGCATTTTACAATTGGAGTAAAAAAAAAAAAAAAAAAATCAGTAAAATGTTACCCATGAGAACTCTTGGGGATTAAAAAAAGTGAGATTACTGTCCTCTGTCAATAGCCTCTCTGCCCCCTTTTGAGTTACGGATCTAAGACTACCAAGAGTCATGGTCTGTAAGCCCGCTTGTTCACCTTAGAACCTTGTGTACGCTTCCATTACTCTGAACTTTCTGATCGAAAACACTGTGTGCTTAGGGCAAATGTGTCTTTTCTGAAGATGACCAATCAGAGCCCTCAAACCAAGAACCATTCCTCTGCAGTAGGTCTCTGCAAAACCTCCTTCCACCAAAGGCCCCTGGGCCCTCGTAAAATGGCAAGAACTTCCTGGTGGCCCTGGGGCTGAGAAAAGCAGGAGTTAAGAGAATGGAATACAGAAGGTTAACCTGAGTCCAGTCTCCCTCTACCTCAGGGCTTTCCACATTTGCTACTCAGTATGGGCTCAGATACACAGGTGTGTGTGTGGGTGGTGGTGGTGGGGGGTGGCGGCTGAGTCCACAGCAGGATGCAGCGCCAGGTAAGTGGATGTCTGCAGGTATTTCTGTACCAGCTGCTTCACTTACCTCACTAAGCCATCATAGTAGCCCCATGATGTGGTTTTCTAAATTTTTATCTAAGAAGAATAAGGCAGAAAGGGAAGTGTCTTCCCAAAGACGGCAAAGGGGGTTAGATTTGTGATCCTTGTCACTGTTAGAATTCTCACCTTCCACATAGGCGATCTGCATTCACTACCCAGCCATCTGTCAGGGGAGCGTGCATCTGATTGGATGCTGAACAGGGCCCAGTGGAGCTTCAGACAGAGATGAACTCGGAAAAAAGGCTTTGGAAAGTCAGCCAATGGATGAACAAGCCTCTAGATCACACGGTCCAGTCCTGCTGTTCATGGGCCACCATGAGTTGAGGGCAGTAACAGCAGTAACTGTGACCTCTCTGGTAGGACACCGTGTCCTAGGTGCTCCAGGGAGCTCTCCGGAAACACGGAAAGCCACAGGAGAAACATGGCATAGACATGTGGGGTAATCACGCTGTGAGACGCGAACTGCATTCTGTAAGAGGGCAGCAAGGTGGGTTTTTTTGTTGTTGTTGTTGTTGGTGGTTTTTTAAAAATAATAAGTAAGGCTTCAAAGAAACAGACTTGGTGCCCTTGATGCCCTGAGACAATTCTATAGAATCCTCTCGTCTTGGATCTTTCTGAGCTCCCACCATTCCTTGTCAGTGCCTGGTGGAAAACTCACGATGCAGGGCTAGGTTTTCCTTCTACTTCCAGCTTTTCTGGAAGCAAATGTACTTCATTACTCAGATGAGGAATCTGTCCCTGCACACTCCCCCACTAGCAGTATGGCTGGGGTTTCAGCGAGGGGTCATGGGAACTTCCTCCTAGACTATAGGGCCAGAGTCCTACAGCATAGGCCTGAGGTCTGCCGTGGTCCACAGCCTGAGGTTCTTAAACTATCTACAGAGCCTGTTGATGAAAGAGTCCCAACACAGGAAACTGAAGTAAGTTTCATTTATTCTAGGGCAAACTCAAAAGGGTTTTTTTTTTGTTGTTGGTTTTCTTTTTTAGTAAATTCTAGCACATTAACAAAAAACTCTGTACATTTGCCATGATACATTTGAGAGTGAAACAAATAAGATATAAATACAGATAAGGATGTAACATGAAAAAGCCCAAACAAAACCCCCAAAAACAACCTAGGTATGGGGTCATGCATGTGAACATGGTGCCAACAAAATGGTTTTGGTGGCTGGTAGTTTTCAGAGCATTTCTTTGATCATTTCCAAACATTCTTGTTAGCAAAGTCCGGGTGGGATTCCACGAAGTCCTTACTTGCCGTCGTTTAATGTGTAAGTAGCACGCTGGATAAAGACAGAGCAGCAGGGGAAGGAGAAGACTGAGGAGACAAGAGTGCAGCTGCCGGGCTGCGCAGGGCACTGGTGCAGCAGTGGCCAGCCAAGGCAGCTGTCCCGGCTGAGTGTGACGTGGGGCAGGGCGCAAGCCGTCTTCGTCCTGCGGGGACGGGCTCTAACTGCCCACACCCCAGTCTAAAGACGGACAGCGCAGATGAAGGAAAGCCGGAAGTCAGGTGAACCAGCCCCTAGCAGTGGGGAAGAGTGGGCTCTTTTGAGACCTTAGAAACAACCAGGTAAACAGGAGAGGCAAACACAGTTTTGGGCGTGTGGCTGTTCTATGATTCTGTGGTTTCATATGACAGGGCCCTGCAGGAGGTGGCAGCAAAGGCAAGCAGCTGCAGCTGTCAGGATTCAGAAAGGGCAGCAGGGACATGCGTCCCTTCCCATGAGGTGGTGGCAGCATGCGAGTGTCTCCTCAGCACTGCAGGCAGCAATGTTCAGACTTTGGCCAAGAGGCCTGTGAGGTGATTGTATCTCTCTCTGGTCAGGGGGCGCTGAAGGAAGGGCAAGTGACAGTCAGAGCTAGCCCTTGGTGAGCACTATGCAGAAATGAGGCAACGCTCAAGATTCTTCTATCTACTCTGGGGACTGAGGGGGAGCTTCTGAGGAGTCAAAGAATACAAGGAGAGAGGTATTTCTAAATGCGTCCAACGAAGAGAACTCATCAACAATCTCACTGCAACGCACATTTCTAGGGCAGAGGAGTAGCCAAAAGATTCCTTGACTCACTTGTACAATGTGAAACAGAAAACCCATTAGTGAAATACTAACAAACAGTATTTACCAACCAAAGTAAGGCCTGCTCCCACTATGTTCTGCGCCCCAAACAAGCTGTTAGTGTTCAGCCACTTAAAACTCTTGCCTTGCAGCTCTCAGGCAACAGTGAAGCACTTCGGACACGATTTCACACTGCAGCACAGGTGCCTGGCTTTGGCCATCCCTGAACCTAACAGGGCACTTGTTTTCAGAGCATACTCCCAAATAAAGTATTTCAAATAAATTTTGAATAAAAAAAGAGTTACATGTTAGCTACAGTGTTTTCATACAACTTTCAACAAAATCTGAAGGGTCAGTAATGGGACAGTGATAAGAGCTATGCAATCCAGTGTCCAGCAGACCAACTATGATCCTCTGCTTCTCAGTCTTGCCCACTACAATGGACTCTACAGTGGGACAGCAAACATCTTGTTAAACATGAAGGTCAACACAGGCATTTCCTTAAGGACAAATCAGTTCAATTTAGAGGATCTAAAATAGAATAGTAAAAGCCAACAGACGTTTTCATGATTTCATGAAGAGTTTCCATTGAGCTTTAGGAATGAATACTGCTCAAAATGATGATCTAATTAAACTCCCAATCTGTCATCACTTTCCTTAGAGCAATGAAGCCCTCCTGACATTAAGGGCCAGGCCCTGGGTTTTTTGTTTGGTTGGTTTTTTTCAATTTGCTATTCATCACAATTATTTTTTCCTTAAACAATGACTATTTCAACAGATGACCAAGGAAGTACTTCATTTTATAAGATAGAATAGTGATTCTGATGCATGGTCGCTCTACACTTTTCTCTGATCTTAATTCTAAATTCAAAAGTCAAAATCTGAGATGGCAAATTTATCATGTGCACTAGACGAAATGTGAACATTTTGGAATTGTTTTAGACAAAACATAGGGGAGAGGAAAAACCTGGCACTAAATCCTGGTCCGTAAGTACCCTTTAAGGCCTACTAGGTCACTAGAGAGTCGCTGTTGAAAGTGTTTCTTAGCATAATCATTGAGATGAAACAAAGGGTATGATTAACTGAATGGAAACCTAATGATCTTGTCTGTAAAGCTTCACTCAATTCACAATAAAAAGTTAAAAAAAATTTTTGTTGTTGTTTTAAAGTGTTTCTTAGCAGTAAAACAAACACCTTTTCATATATTCTATGCACTTCATGAAATACCATTTTAGGCCGCCCACTAAACGATGCTAGCCATCTGCCTTAATGTTTGTGTCTGGATCGGAAATGCTTAGCGTTCTTCTGAGTGGATACCCTTGGTAGGGACCATAAAGAGGGAAATGGGAACCTGCCAGGAAGGAGACTGTGGAAGTAGCCTCTGATCCAGTCTGCCTCCAGGCTAGAGATAAAAGCAAAATTCCCTGCGTTTTTTAAAAGGCCATTTTTACACTCTTCTCCATTTCTAGCCAAGATCTGACAGACGTTTAAACTGTTATCAAAACCTAACTTATAGACAGACAACCCTTTCAAGGTGTCAGTTGAGAAAGGACAGGTCTCTACGCAGGCCATACTTATAAAGCAAAGAGATAGAAAGAGAGAGAAACACAAATCTGCACACCCCAACAGTTAATAACTGAAGAGAAAATGCGACTTTCTACCAAATGTTGGCTCCAGTTTGACAAGCTGCACCCACACACTGTGTCCACGTATGGCTCTTTTCTTTTCTTATTCCTTTTGTTCTGTATGAAGACTGCAACACAAGCCTTCCTTCCTTCACATTCAATACCAGTAAGATTCTACACAAAAGCTGGAAGGGACCAAAAATACTGATTGTAATAAATATTTGCGGGCCTCCTTGTACTGACTGGGCAGTCGATGAACGGGAGTGAGGAGAGGTCTTTGAGAGGTACCACCGATTGCTTCTAGGCTACACAGAAGTCAGGCACTGCCATTAGCTGTGGGTGGAGATGTCAGAAGAGGAGCTGCTATTGCTGTTCGTGGTCTGGGCCCTCTTTATATATAAATTTAATAGCTTCATCTGGAAAGAAAAGATAAAAATGAATTAGCAGGAGGAAAAACAATCAGTATGTATATACAGAAGGATTCTAGGTGATGTTCAGGTGCTAGCAGGCCCCTTAGTTGAGAAAATTCATAACAGAAATATTTACTGCATGCCTAATATTCATCAATGAGCCTGGGGAACAGTGGGTTAAATGCTGGACTCCTAACCACATGGTCAGCAGTTTAATCCCATCAGCCCCTCAGGGAGAGAGATGAAGCAGTCAGCTTCTGTAAAGACTGAGACTTGGAAACTATACAGAGTAAGTTCTATGCTGTCCTGTAGGGTTGCTGAGTTGGGATCAACTCAACAGCACGTATTAGATTAGTAGTCATCAAACTATAGCAGGTTCTAGAGTCACCAAAAGGAGTCCCGGTGAAGCAATGATTCAGTGCTTGGCTAAAACCAAAAGGTAGGTGGTTCAAATCCACCAGCTGCTCCATGAGAGAACGATGTCTGTTTCCATGAAGATTCAAAGGCTATAGCTTATAGGGGCAGTTCTCCTATCCTTTAGAGTCACTATGAGGTGGAATCAACTTGAGAGCCATGGGTCAACAGGGTAGGACTACCAAGACAGGGAGGAAGTAAGTTACGGTACAGAGAAGGAGGGAAAAAAGAAAATAGCCTATTACATAAGGCGCAAAAAATGTCACAGCTAGGCAGGCCATGAGGCTCTCGGGAGAAACATGCATGAAGGAAAGACCCATACATTTCAAGAAAAGCTGCAGCTTGAGGACCAAAACCCCACAGGAATAAAGGAACTATTCCAATGTTACTTTATCAATGGCAAGTGTTTACACCTTCACACCTGTGCTCCAGGTGTTCCTCCAATTAGCATGCTCTTTCCACCTCAACCTCTGCCAATCTCATGACACTGACTGCCATGTTGTGGCATCTGAGAGCTACCTTAAAGGACACCTTAATGAAACCCTTCCCCCCTGATGTGCCTGTCTGAATGCAATCATTGTGTCCTTCCAACTCCCGTGTCATAGTGGTCCCTCATTTGACTTTGCTAAATAAATTAGCAGTGGGCTTGCTTGGTCCTTCACCCAGATTATACCTTCCTAAAACCAGGTGTTGCATGTCACATAATAATATCATCTCTGACTGGTAGAAAGCTTTATAGTCAAAGGGCTTTCAGATTAATGATCTCATCTGCTTCTAACCTAAACTCCCCTTTGGACTCTCAAAATTATGTTTAACAGTCTGGAACATGTTGTTGTTGTTGTAAGTTGCTCAAGTCAGCTCCAACTCATTGTGATCCAATGCACAATAGAATGAAACACTGCCCCATTCTGTGCTATGCATGAGTTCACTGTTGAGTCACTGAGTCAATCCATCTAGTTCGGAGTCCTTTTCTTTGCCTCTATTTTACCAAAAATAATACCCTTTCTTCTCCAGGCACTGATATGAAGCTCAAAGACTACACAGCCCTACAGTGTGGATTACACCCCATTGTAAAGAAAACAAAAACCCTCACAACTGGACATCAAATAACATCATGGTAAATGAAGGAAAGATCATCCTTGTCAAGGACTTCATTTTGCTTGGATCTACAACCAACACTCATGGAAGCAGCAGTCAGGAAATCAAATGGTGTATTACATTAGGCAAATCTGCTACAAAGGACTTCTTTAATGTGTTAAAGGGAAACATGTCAGTCCAAAGTACATGGTAACATGCCCTTGCTTCTTATGGGCATTTTGGCTGTACTTCTTTCAAGACAAATTTGTTTGTTCTTCTGGCTGTTCATGGTACTTTCAATATTCTACACCAACACCATAATTCAAATGCATCAACTCTTCCCCAGTCTTCCTTATTCACTGTCAGGCTTTCACATGCTTATGAGGCAACTGAATATACCATGGCCTTCATCCTCAAACTGACATGTTTGCTCTTTCACACTTTAAAGAAGTCTTTTGCAGCAGATCTGCCTAACATAATACACTATTTGATTAACTGACTGCTGCTTTCATGAGCGTTGATTGTGGATCCCAGCAAAATGAAATCCTTTGACAAGGTCAATCTTTCATTTATAATGATGTTGTTTATTGATCTAATTGTGAGAGATTTTGTTTTCTTTACACTGGGGTGTAATCCACACTGAAGGACTGTAGTCTTTGAGCTTCATTAGTAAGTGCTTCAGAGTCCTCTTTGCTTCCAGCAAGCAAGTTTGTGTCATCTGCATACAGCAGATTGTTAGTGAGTCTTCCTCAATTCCCGGATATCTCCTCCTTCTTCATTTAGGCCAGTTTCCTGGATTATCTGTTCAGTATACAAATTAAGTAAATGTGGTAAAAAGTTACAACCTTAGTGCACACCTTTCCTGATTTTAAACCACTAAATATCCTCTCCTCTCATTCTGTTTGAATGGTTACATCTTGGTCTGCGTACAGGTTTTACATGAACACAATGAATTGTTCTGGAATTCCCATTCTTTGCAATGTTAACTACAGTTTATTAGGATTCACACAGCTGAATGCCTTCGCATAGACAATAAAGCACAAGCAAACATCTTGCTGGCATTCTCTGCTTTCAGCTGAGATTCATCTGACGTCAGCAATGATATCCCGTGTTCAATGTCCTCTTCGGAATCCAATTTGAATTTGTAACAACAGTTCCTTGTTGATGTACTGCTGCAACTGTTTTTGAATTATCTTCAAAAAATTTTACTTGTATGTGACATTCATGATATTATTCGAACATTTCCACATTCTATAGGACTGTGCTTTTTTGGAATGGGCATACATATGGATCTCTGTTCCAGGCAGGTGGCCATGTAGCTGTCTTCCAAATTTCTTGGCACAGACTAGCAAATGCTTCTAGAATTGTACCAGTTTGTTAAAACATTTCAGTTTGCATTCTGTCAAATTCCTGGATCCTTGTTTTTTGGCAGTGCCTTCAGGCTTCTTGTTATCCTTGCTGGTAGCCTCATAAGATCTGTCTTCTTCGTGTGTGTGTGTGTGTGTGTGTGTGTGTGTGTGTATGTCTGTGCCTGTTCTCTTTATAACTTTGTATAACTATAAAAGTGATTAGGTTTAGGACCTACCCTACTCTGGTGCAGCCTCATTAACAAAACAAAAGAAAAGCTCTATCTTTGAAAAGGATCATGTTTACAGGTATGTTGTTAAGTGCCAGTTGAGTCATTTCTGACTCATAGCAACCCTGTATAGGGTTTCTGGGGAGCAACGGGAAGGTTTGAAGCACCGACTTTATCCTACAGCACTACACCAGGAGTAGTGTACAATCATTTATAGGTAGATTGTTGTTAAGTGCTGTTGAGTCTGTTCCGACTCATAGCAACCCTATATAGGTTTCTGAGGAGCAGTGGGTGAACATGAACCACTGACTTTGTGGTTCAAACCAACCTTGCAATCCAGTGCATTAACCCACAGCAGGACTCCATTTATAGGTATAGGAATTAGGATTTCAACACATACTCTGAAGGGGCACAATCTAATCCAGAACAGTTACATAACCAGTGAATGGTAAAGTGGGCTCTAGAATTGCCGGGTCTTTTGAGTTTTAAGCTAGTGCACTGTCGAATGTGTCCAAGTTCCTGTTGCGTCTACTTGGTCCTGGGCAGCTCACATTGTTGGTAAGTGCTATTGAGTCAGTTCAGACTCATAGTGAACCTCTATAGGGTTTCTGAGCGGCAACTGGGGCGGGTTTGAACCACCAACCTTGTGGTTAGCAGTCCAGTGCTTACCCTCACTGCCATACCAGAACACAGTGAGTCTTTAAAAAGTATAAAATCCTGTATAAAATAATTATGCTTCTTATCACAGCATTGAGAGCTACATTATTATTATTATTTTTTTAAGATTTAAAAAAGTGGGGACTGAAAAAACAGACTCTGGTGTATAGCGTAAATTAACATGAAATACTTTGAGGAGAAGCAGACTGACATGGAGTAAAAGCACACACAAGGGCCATCTACTTCAATCTGTGCAAATATATGATACTCGAACAGAGGAAAAGGTCTACGAGAGGCTACTACACTCCAGTACTTTGGGACCAGGGGCCTATAAGCTTCCATGGAACTTTCTGGGGTACACAGCCTCTCCTCCCTGGCTGCCCTGGAAGTGTCTGAACCCCAACTAGCTTGCTCGGACCAAGGCCAATAAAGGGCTGGGAGAGGAGCCAGTCCTAATTCCCTGGTTTTAGAAGTTGTGTGTTGCACAGATTTTTATGGCACTCTTCGTTTTGGTCTTAATATGATCAGACAGTTTGTCACCACAGCATATTAATTTAATAGTATTCAACAAATATTAGGTACTACTGTATTCTATATGAAGTATGAATCTAGGAAAATTGGAAGTTGTTAAAAATGAAATAGAAAGCATAAAGATCTCTATCCTAGGCATTAGTGAGCTGAAATGGACAGGTACTGGAAATTCTGAATCAGATAATCATATGGTTTAACTATGTATGCCAAATGTAAATGACAAATTCAAGAGGAATGGTGTTGCTTCATCATCACAAAGAACACTTCAAGATCAATCTTGTAGGACAATACTGTCTGGAACAGGACAATACCCATACACTTACAAAGAAGACCAGTTAAAATATAACCATTATTTAGATTTACATACCAACCAACAAAGTCAATGATGAAGAACTAGGAGAAGTCTACTAACTTCTTCAGTCTGAAATTGATCAAACATGACGACTGAAATGCAAAAGTTGGAAAAAAGGAGGAAGGATCAGTAATTAGAAAATATGGCCTCAATAGAGAAATGAAGCTGGAGGTCTCACATGATAGAATTGTGCAAGATCAATGACTTCTTCATTACAAATATCTCTTTTTTCAACAAATGACAACTATACACATAGACTGCCAGAAGGAATACATAGGAATCACACTGACTCCATCTGCGGGAAGAGATGATGGAGAAGCTCAATAACATCAACCACAACATGGCCAGGGGCTGACTATAGAACAGACCATCAACTGCTCATATGGAAGTTCAGGCTGG